AGTTTAGACTATAGCTCATAAGAAGGTATCATCACATAACTGTAGCACATGATGTAGAAGATGTGATCCTCATATAAGCTCAATAGGCTACAGTCACTTCCATTGTCTTTTCCAGTGCAACTGAGTCATGTAAAAAAGAAAGTTTTCACGAGAGCCCCATCTTAAAGCTGAGCCTGTAAGCTCAAGAATCCCAATTGCCCGACCCTACGCCCTAAATCGTAAACCCTCAACCCTGAACCCTAAACCCTCACCCTAAACGCTAAACGCTGCCTAAATCTTGAAACGCTTGGCTTTGCACAGGTGTCTGGCAACACCTCAATCAAGGTTCTCAAGGACCCGCGGACTGGCTTAGGGTTTAGGGTTTGGAGCTTAGGGTTTAGGGTGCAGGCCTAAATTAATGTCAACTTGACGGGGATCAGGGTGTAGGCATGATGGAAATGAGCATGGACAATGGAATGAACACTGGGTATATGTAAAGGTTGGTAGGGATGATTGCCGATGTCATCGTCCTAGCTCTTTGTATAAATACTTGAAATAGACCTAAAGACAATGTTTACAGATATAGGCAGTACAGACCATCCAAAATGATGTCTATGATTATGAGTTTTTCGAACATCCTTCATAGTGCGGGCGCAGTGTTCCAACTTTAGGATTTGGAAACCTCACACACGATATCCTAAAATGCAGCATGTAGCCCACCTGTATAAGACATGCCCCTAGATGGACATGTTACCCGCAACTCTAAACCATAAGGTTTCGCGGTTTCGGATTTCGGGGTTCAGGGTATACGGTTTAGGGTTGCAATCTAGTAGCTCTCCCGATCAACCCCCACATAAACCCAGTCTCGGTTTCAGTATCTCTCTTTCCACAGACAAGGCCCCCCCAAGGTCTGTAAATCCTACAGCCTACATGTGCTTTAGACGTAATGTCTGCAGCAGTTTTGTGTGCAGCAGTTCTCCGACAGTCGCAACAGCTTTCCGAACATTCGGAACCCACCTGGATTCTCAGAAGGTCATAGTAACAAGTGCCCTAATCTCTGTAGGGTTTCGGGGTTTGGGGTTTAGGGGGCTCAGNNGGGTTTAGGGCCAAAGTTTAGGGGTAACATCCGAACAACACGGCTTGCTACCTTGCAGCGAGACCTCGCTACTAGACCCCAGAAGCCCTGATGTCCTCGGCCGCACGTTGCTAAGATTAAGACCCTCCGCTGACTCTGCGTTTAGGCTTTAGGGTTTGTAGGAAATCGCAAGGCCCTAAACCCCAAACCCCTA